TTTAGAGATTTATGACAACTGTTACAATGTCACTATAGGTAAATGTTAAAAATATATATTTTGAAACAACAATGTCCTATTTGTACTTCTAGCCCTATAACTTGCAAAAAAGCTAACATGTTAATATCGGGTATTTCTAAACTCAGGCCAAAATGTAGAAACTATTTAGCAATTGTAAATGCACAACAGATTTTGGGGGTCAAAGTTAGAAAAGGTGTTTACATTTGTTCATCATATTTCATAATTTTTATAGTAAATTATAGGATATGATGAAAATAATAGTATCTTTATAAAGACCATTTTATGGTGAGAAAATTGTATATAGTGTGTGGGTACAATAAATGCGTAAAAGGAAAATTACAGCTAAAAACAAACAGCCCTAATTGTAAACGGTAATAAAATTGAAAAACGGTCTCTTATAGTTACCAATTCGATCCCCAAAAATGTTACATTTTAATTGGGGTCTCAATTTTTCTTGTTTCCACTGAATTTTTATGCTCCAAATTAGGCCGCTTGACCGATCTAAACTTTTTTTTTTTTTTTTTTATCAGTATAGCTACTATTCTCAAAACTTATATGAAGTTGAAAGCTTTGCAACGTCTACATTTGTAAGTTCCTATCAGTTTGTTTGATAGCCAATGCATGGTAAGAGACTTTCTGAAAGTGGCTATGTACCAACATGTCCTTCACGTTTGTACCCCTTTGTGCTGTCAGACGCATATGGGGTAATTATATTTTTAAGATGTCCATCTTGTCTTAGAGTCCAGAATCTATTCATAATGCTCTTTACCAGATACCAACTGAAATATATTTTGTCATATGACAAATACTATAGAAAACTAAATGAACACCAAGGAATATACATTACAACTTAGGGAGCTCATTAAATCCTTACCGAAGAATTTGCATCTAGAACTGCAATCACTCATACAAACTAGTCCATATATGGGCACTTTCCAAAATCCTCAAAGCAGGTAATCCTGGAAGACCAATAATTACAGGAATGGGAACTCAGAGAACAGATCTCAGGACTGGTATAAAATACCCTAAATCCTCTAGTCACCAACAGCTTCATTAAAGACAACCGACTTCCTTAAACTCAGCCAAATCACCAATCTCCCTGCTAACACCATCCTTGTAACCATGGATGTGGAATCTCTGTACGGCAACATTCCATATATATCACTGCTTGCTTCCATTTCCTCTCTTATGCCGACAACCAAAAATATAGCCCCCGAATGATCACAGAACTGGCACTATTCATCCTCACACATAACTGTTTCAGTTTTAACAATGAGGTTTACCTACAAACCATGGGGACTGCTATGAGCATTAAGATGGCACCACAATATGCTAATTTGTTTATGGCAGATCTAGAACCCATGCCTAGAAATACAGCACACCAAACCATACAAATATCTCTATATTGATTATCTCTTCATAATTTGAACTGAAAGCAAAGAAAAACTGATACAATTCCATGACCCTTAACTCATTCCATCCATCAAATTAAAAATTGAATATTCCACTAGTTCTGTTAATGTTCTGGACACCACTGTGACATGTAACAATAGCACAATCCACACCTCGGTTTACAGAAAACCCACAGACAGGTGCAGTTACCGTCACAGCTCCAGCTTCCAGTTTTTTTCCCCCTCTCTCCCCCCTCACTCTGATCTTCACGACACTAAGAGAATGGTGTCTATTCTCTATCAAACCTGTGTCTTATCTGCACTCATGTCACTTTAACCCCTGTATCACAACTCAACTTTGAATTCTTTGTGTCTTGCTCAGAAAAAAAGCTTTAGACTTGAGGATGGGAGGTTCTCCCAAAAACTTGTCATTTAAAAAAAAAAAGTGTATTACAAGATATGAATTATATCTGTTTTTTTACATCTACGTCATTGGACTAATACGGCTAATTTATATATATATATATATATATATATATATATATATATATATATATATATATATATATATATATATATATATATATATATATATAATATACACACACATATACATAATGTAAAGGTGGCTGCACTCACGGTTCATATAGTCACCAGCTTGGTTGCTTCATCTAAGTGTTGCTTCTAAGTGTGTGGTTGGAGATATTCTGGAGAGTTTTACAGAAGCTTCAACTGTCTAAGAGTTGTGCTAAGAGTTTTCTTTTCTACTGTTACAGGTAAGATTCATCTGTAGGAAAAGGTTACTTATTGCACAAGGTTTGAATTCCTGTTGGTAATTGAAGATTATGCCAGCTTTAGTGTACTAATGAACTTAATTTTAATAATGACAGGAGGTGAGTATTTTGCATATGTCTCTTTACTAACTCCATACAGCAGGAAAGAAACACATAGAAAAAAGAACCAATCACAGGAGAGCAGGATGTACACAAGGCAATGTGACCTTATCATTTCCTCTTTCAGAAAGCGACAACAAGCAGAAGTAAATATATAGCAAATAATAAAACTAATAATAACTCCAAGTTCCCATGTGCGAAGGAGCAAACTTCCAAAGAATTCTATACGAACAACGAAAAAGAGTTCAGGGTTGAGACAAATCCAAAGGATAAAATCTCCAATAGTTTCACGTGAACTGCCAATTATCTTCAGAGACGAATCATACTGAAAAGAGAATGTGTGACAGGTTTAGACATAGTCACGAACATGTAACTCCAATTAAAGTACCACCTAACATCCCATTGGAGAATATAGTAACTATAATCTGATAACTGAGTAATTGTAATGAGAACTCTATATTAATGGAAGTACGAACATATCATATAAGCACCAATGTGAGAGGCAAACCTACATTAGCACCTGATATCTGCAAAGCAAACGAATAGAAAGGGTGGGCAGCGGAGCGGGGGTGGGGGTGGGGGGAATACTCGCCTCCTGTCATTATTAAAATTAAGATTATTAGTACACTAAAGCTAGCATAATCTTAAATTTTACCACATGACAGGAGGCTTCGTGTTTTGCATTTTTAACGCTGAGAAAAGAGTATAGAACTAAATAAGAGTCCTACGGTGTGCCAAGAGACCCAGTATGGTGGGGAGGTCTTCCCCGTTGAGCGCCCACGTATACACCATCTAATGGGAAATTATACAAGACCAAGTGTGACCGATTGTCAGCAGGATGTTTAGTCCTGTAGAGTGAAAGGAGAATGACCTCCACAACTCATAAGCTGGAGAGGTATGACATTGGGTAGTTGGTATCCTAGAGGATCCTAGTCCCTTGGGCGTCCTCAGGTAGTCATACCGGCTGCAGTTCCATCTCCATCCTCACATAAGGGATCAAGATGCATGACCGAACCAGACAGGCTGGGAATGTCCAGATGTAGGGGTAGAGTCTGGGTTCCTAGATTCTCAAGAGGTCCCTGGCAGCCTGCGATCGTCCGCTGACCTGCCAAGAAACCTCCAAAGTGGGTCCAGGTACCCAGGTAGCCAACCCTCCTGGAATAGAACATGTGAGTACCCTATGGCTCCGTGAGGAAGTGTTTGTCATGAATGTAGCAAGAGAAGATCCTCGCCTGCTCGAGAATTACTGTAGACCTTGTAAGCGTGAGAAGCATAAGTCCTCCAGGGAGGTCCAGTCGGACGGAGCGCGATCACCATCGTGCCCATACTGTGACGAGTGGTAATATCCAAATCAGTTGGCCCCAATGAGATGTGTCTCCCCGGGGATCGAAGGAGCCTACATGTCTGATAAACGTGAGTTGGTTCATCGCGGTGGATGTGAAAGCTGACCGCCTAATCTGTGGTTACCTGCAGTAGGGTGCAGCCGATCTAGTACTTCTTTATCAATCCATGTATTGTGAAGTATAGGACCAAGAAGTCTAGGTATACAACGTACAGGGTCGCGGTAGTGCCGCGGAGAGTCGTACGAATATTCCCAAGTTGTGGAATAGTCTGCGAATCCTCTGAGCGAAGTCTTCTACAAAAGGTTCCAGCCGGTTCTCGGATGAACATGGATCTTAACGAGTTTTCAGTTCACTGGAGTGATCTGAATGAGGTTCTCCCGGAAGAGAGTGTCTCATCTTCCCCGCCTGTATTCATTACTTCTTTCTGTAGTTTATCAGGGCCCACCAGGCTCTGAGCTACTGGATGGGGAAGGAGAGGATGTCCCCTGAAAACTGGGTAAGGTGGTCGAGCGGGAAGCAAGAAACCGTCCTGACGTGTCTTTAGGTCCTGAACGCAAGTCGGTTGACTACGTGAAAGTGGTCTTCCCCAGGATTGAGTGCCTTTCACCTAGATGTGGTGAAATCCCCTGTGCATGTAGTAGGAGGTATATTGATAGTATCTGTGCGTACCGTGTTCTCTGTCCGCTTATCTGGAGCACCATTGGTTGACATTCGCTCTATATGGGTAATAGAGCCAGCAGTAGTGGATCTCGGGTCTAATGTCCCGAAGTGGTCGACGACCGGCTCTGTTGCCAACTGGTTCCAAAGAATCCCTTGTAAAGGTAATCGCATACCACCTCCCTCCCAGGGGTTTGGGCCCTTATGAAAGCCGTGGGACCCTTGCATGTCTAATAAGTTCCCTTCGGAACTTTGTGCCTTGTGCCTGGGGTTCCGACTATCTTGGCGCCCAGTATCGCCAACCATCCTTCAGTGCGGAGGAGTGCTGCTATGGGCATCCTATGGGAGAGGCCAACACTGGGGTTTCCTGCGAGGAGCAGAAACAGTTTTTTGAGTCCATATACCCAAGTTGTATGCCCGTTCCCGGACAATGCTTGGCGGCGTGAATCCTGAGAGACCTCTTCCGTTGGTCACTATTGTAACAGAACTATGATTATGCCTATACTTTTGCCTGGACTTAACAATGCTGCTGGATGTGTTAAACAGAAACCGAATGGCTGGTTTTCGTGTGAATATTGCTACTGTAACATACAGCCCAAAATACCGAACATCAGACCACCCAGGGGAACAGTTAATTGCTATTTTACCTCCCAGGGATTGTGGAGCCGTTCGCATGGTTCAGACGAATCCCTTTGTGCTCAGGTTAGATGGCCGCCATTTCGGGACTTTACACGTGTTCGCGGCCATCTTACGCACGAACGGCGGTGTTTGCCTGTGAACGCATGGAACTAAAAACGGATACGCAAACAGGCGAACACCGCTGAGACCTCCAGGAGCTCGTAAGTTTGTGCTGGAACTACCGAACGACCGGCCGTTGGGTAGTTTTGTTTAAGCATTTATGGGGATTCAGGCGAACACCAAGATTACTGTGGATGGCAAGGGGTTCGTGGGGTTTTAATGCACGAATGGAGACCGACCGCAAGGCCAAAACTTATGGAACTCTTTTGGCTAGAAAACCTGTGCGGTCGGTCAAAACTTCAAAGACCCATAACTCCCGAACCCCTCAACCGAATGGACTGAAATTTTGATATATTGTTCCCCTGAGTGAGAGCTATTAAGCGGTGCTGGACCCCCTGTTTTTGGGGTACATCCAGAATGTAGTTAAAATTGTGTCTGTTTTAATTGTGTTATATGTTATCTGAGGGGAGGAGACGTGGGGGTTGAACCATGTATGTAATTGGCTGTTGTGATAATTATGTGGGTGTAGCCTTTCAGAGGGCAATATTGCATAAAAGGAGACCCCCTGTCAATAAACATCAGTTCTACTTGACCCTTCAAAACATAGCCTCGTCTCGTTCTTGGAGGGGATTTATGGTACCGTTACTCTGCCTCATTTTACAGCACTCCTGGATTATACACTTGGATATCGTGGATGGGAATAAGAACTCCATTACTTCACAGCAGCTTGCCTAGAAAAGGACGTCTCCAATGGCAGGTACCCCTCTCCAACTGGGTAGCCGTTACAACTATATTCGTCTGAGCCGTTCTAACCGGCATGGAAGGGCCATGGGTTTGTCCGACCATCAGCGGATATGGACATTCTAAGCAAGAGGCTGCAAAGCCACAAGTGCATAATGTTGTCAAGTAGGTTTATCGTAGTAAGGGATACCCCTGTGTAAGGCACAAACCAGTAGTCAGGCACAGGATGCAGGGCAAACAGATCAGTCTACTATGACAGTAGGCAGTGTTCATGAAAACCCTTGTGGGTCTATTCCGAATCGTGGCCAAAATAAAACAGACTGGGGTTCACCCAGTACATAGAGGTTGCCATAGCATTGCCTCTGTTCAGCAGCACCGTGCAGCGCACGTATAGTGGGGGCTCACCCCGGGTGCACAGGGTATGCACCCTTAAGTGCTGGCCATCGCCCTGATAGAGTGTGTCAGTCACCTCTTTCATTATTAAATTCACCACAAGGGGAATATTTATTGTTAAGTAGGTGGCTCGGAACTCCTGTTCAGCTGTTGTAACCGCATGCCATTTTAGTGCAGTGCACGCTTAGCCGGGCCCGGTGCATAGGGTGTGGGCCTTTAACTGCAGGCCGCAGAATAGGTACAGGACATAAACCCGTACCGTATCATGATTCATTATCAATGGAGGTATTCCTTCAGCTGTAGGTAGAGGCTGTTGCTGTAAGACTTCCTTCGGTTGGGTAGTGTGACTCGCCTATCGTAGGGGTCTCACCCCAAGAGCACCGGGTCTGAACCTGTAAGTGCCGGTCCCAGATTTGAAGTTCGAATTTTCAATCCTTGAGCTCGCTGTTTAGAGGGGTAGGAGTAGAAGCAACAGTGCTGTAGGGGGCTCACCCCAGTTGCACAGGGTATGAACCTATCAGTGCTGACCATCAGCCTGATAGTGTCCTACAGCTCTATCAATAATTAATGAACTGCCATGAGGGATATACTGCACTGAAGCTTGTGACTGTCCCCTTTTTTGCCGAATAGATTGGCGTATACCTAGTCAGAGATCACCTCGGGTGCGCAGGGTATGTACCCGTCAAGCGTGGGTCGCGGCCAAATAAAACAGACTGGATGAGAGCACAATCTGTTTCATTGTGTGCAATGCACCATGCATGGAAAGAGGGTCCCCAGATGCCCCAGGTATAGAAGATCAGGAAAATCGCCAGAAAAGTCATGATACATATGGTATAAAGTACATCTACCATAATTATACATAAAACCTATTAAGTCAATAATAAAATTTACACCTAACACCTATTAAGTCCATGTTATAAAATACAGATGACATCTATTAAATACATATAAAGTACATATAATACTTATCAAAACAAAGGATGAAATGCCTATAAAACTGATAAATTACAAGTGATATTAATCACAAGTAAAGGTTATGAAAGAAGGATAACATAAAATCTACATAATATCTATGAAATAACATAGAAAAAACACAGCTGCACATAGTACAGAAGCACAGCAAGAACATGCCGATAACGATAAAGGGCGCCGGGGGCCTCCGCTCGCTCCCAGCCTCCCGGGGCTGGACGGGCAGGGGAAGGGCACGTGCCCCCCAGTGGCCAAAAATGATAAAGGGCGCCATCGGCCTCTGCTCACTCCCAGCCTCCCGGGGATGGACGGGCAGGGGAAGGGTGCCTGCCCCGGGCCCCCCGCAACCCTACCAGGGGTCAGACAGCCTTCCGTGAGCTGCAGTTCCATGCAGTCGGAAACTCTGTTGGCTCGGGCGCCCACCCTGGGGAGGTTGTGCCAGACATTTTACAAGTTCCCCCTCCCAGGCAGGGGACTCTGGCTGGTTCTCCAATGCCCAGGCAGAGTTCCAGGCCGTCGGGAGGTTTTCCCCTTTGTTGGTTGGGGGACTCTGGACGCTCCTCCGTTGCCCAGGCAGAGTTCCAGGCCGTCGGGCGGTTTTCCCCCTAGTCGGTTGGGGGGGGGCTCTTGCCGGTTCTCAGGTGCCCAGGCAGAGTTCAAGACCGATGGGTGGTTTCCCCCTTGTCTGTCTCCTGTCAACTGTCCTCCTCGACCTTCCCGCGCCCCTGGGACTTCCCTGGGCAGGGGAAGGGGTGCCTGCCCCGGTCACCCTGCACCCCTAGTGGACACTTTTCCGGGTCGGTCCCCCTAAAGGGCACGCGTGCAGAAAGTGCACGACAATAGCCGGGGGCACCCTCGAGGAGCTAAAATTTCGAACGTCGGTCAGGGGACCTGGCCGGTTCTCCGATGCCCAGGCAGAGTTCCAGGACGGCGGGTGGTTTTCCCGACTGTATGGTGTGTGTGTGTGTGTGTCTGTCTGTGTCTGTCCGTCATGGGGTGTGTGTATGTGTGTCTGTCTGTGTCATGGTGTCTGTCATGGGGTGTGTGTATGTGTGTCTGTCTGTCCGTTATGGGGTGTGTGTGTGTGTCTGTGTCATGGTCTGTCATGGGGTGTGTATCTGTCATGGTATATGTGTGCTTCTGTGTCTGTCATGGTGTAAATGTGTGTTTAAAAATAGTGTTTTTGCTCACCTTTTTTTTCCCCCAAGCAGCGTGCTGGTCTCCCCTCGACTGGCCCTGCCTCTATAGCTGAGATCATCAAGCTTGATGATCTCAGCCAATCCAATGCTTTGCCATAGGATTGGCTGCAAAACGCCACTCCAATCAGCATCTCCTCATAGAGATGTATTGAATCAATGTATATCTATGGGGAACGTTCAGCACCTACAGAGTGTGGAGGCCCTGAATGTAGGTGCACTAACACAAGAAGCACCTTTAGTGACCGTATGAGTGACTGTCACTAGCAGTGAACTTTTCTCTGAAAAGTCAGTGTTTACGTTGAAAAGCCTGTAGGGACATGCTATAGACACCAGTACCACCACATTGCGCTGTGTGTGTGTCTGCTAGTGAGTGAGCTTGCTTGCATGCGTGTGCCTGCTAGTGCGTGAGCTTGTGTTTTTATGTCAATGAGCTGATGTATATCAGTAAGATTGTTTGTCTATGAGGCTGTGTATCAATGAGCTTGTGTGTGTCATTGAGATGTCAGTGAAATTGCCTGAGTCTGCATGTGAGTATGCTTACTGTATAATTAAACGTTTTACCCTGAAAGGACCAATATTTTATATTAGAAAAAGATATATATTACTCAATCATCTGTCCTGGCAAGACATAGCCTTATATATTACACGTGACAATATACGGCGCAGTGACTTATGGGGCTGGCACAAATTTTTTTTCCAGGGCTGCTCTGTATCCCCAGTCCGGCCCTGACCATGGTGACCACGGGTAATGGGGAATCAGGGTTCGCTTACGAAGAGGGAGCCTGAGAAACGGCTACTACATCCAAGGAAGGCAGCAGGCGCGCAATTTACCCACTCCCGACGCGGGGAGGTAGTGATGAAAAATAACAATACAGGACTCTTTCGAGGCCCTGTAATTGGAATGAGTACACTTTAAATCCTCTAACAAGGATCTATTGGAGGGCAAGTCTGGTGCCAGCAGCCGCGGTAATTCCAGCTCCAATCACTGGGGGCTGGGAGTTTGCAGTGAGAGGCTGTGTACTGATTGTGCTCCTGACTTCCAGGACCACACCCTGGGAGTGTTCGTTTGCTTCCCCAGTTTGGTGCACCCTTTCTGGGCTGTGCATTGGAACTTGGCTCCTGGAGCCCCTGCCTGGTTTCAGGCAGCATGTCCTCAGGGTCTCCCTCCCCTGTCAGGGGATGGGAAGACTGGATGAAGCAGGTGGAGGATGAGCTTTATGCAGTGGATGAGTTACCTGAAGCTGTGTCCCTGTCTTGGACTGAACACCAAGCTCTTGCCAGGACCACCAGGCAACAGGTTAATAAGCTGCAGGAATTAGAAGAAAGACTGCAGAAAAGGTTTGAGGAATGGAAGAAGGGAGTGGGGGTCCCACATGGACCTGCAGGGGTTACACGCACCCATATCGCTACGCTGCTAGAGTTGCTTGTCCTTTGCAGGGAGAAAGTGGCTAATTAACTCCACTTTCTGGAGCAACCCCCCCCCCTCCCCTAGAAATGGTAGACTGCCCCATGGAGATAGCACTGGAAGGGTCTCTAGGGACAGAAGCTGGGGCTGAAACTGTGGCTGAAACTGTTAAACCCCCAACCCCATGCACCTATGCACAGGCAGCAGGGAGTGGAGGGGTTAATAATGCTACAATTGCCCTGAAAGAGTTACCTAACATCAAGCTGCTGTCTTTATTGGAAGAAATCAAAGATAAGCATAATGAAACTGATTGTAATTTGGCAAATTTGCAGACTGAACTCAAAAACCTCAGGAGTCAGTCCAGCAAAATGTCAAATAGTAAAAGAGGTCCAGTTAGATTGTTAATTGCTGAAAAGAAAACCTTGGAGCAGCAATTCAGCTTCAAGCTGCTGCACCTGGAATCACAAATTGCACAGATCCAGACTCTCATGCAGCAGCGGCTGAAACACACTGCTAGAGTAAAGAGACAGGAGTCTCTTGGAGGTAGGAGGGATATTCCTGAAGGTGAGGGGTCTGGAATGGAGTCTGGAGGTGACCAGACCACCTCACCTGAGGGGAGACCCCCTCCTCCTCCAAACACGCTGGAGGTCCATGCTCAAAAGGGTATTACTACAACAGAAGAGAAATGGGGTAATGAAGAGAGAGGAGAGTGGAGATTGAAGGTCGCGGAAACAAAGCAACAACAGCCTATTAAAGAGGCACTTCTTGCCTTTGATGCGGATGACCTGGAGGGAGCTGTTGACAGCAGTGTAAAGAGGAAGAAGAAGAAATCCAAAAAGAATCCTGCTACCCACAAACCTGAACCTGGTATCCCTAGGGAGTCTGGAGGATCGGTGGGGAAGGGTGAGTACTCATCAGATTTCACATATTCTGATGAGGATTTTCCATCTCTGCGGGCCCCTGGGGTCTGCCCACCCTGTCCCTGCCGATCCCTCTGGGCCCCCCACCGCCCTCCATGGTGACAGGGAGACCGACCCCGCTGGTGCAGTGACTGGCACCAGTGATCCCATGGAGGGGGCTTCCCTTTCACCCCTTCCCATTCCCTCCCTCCCTTCCCCCCCCTCTGACCTTCCTTTGGTTGTTGCCCCTTGTATGTCTGTGGCTGCCTCAGATGCCGGCACCAGACAGTCTGCTGGTCCTCCCATGGGGACTGCTCTGGTTGCCGTCTCTGAGCAGCCCCAGGAAAGTTGTGTTATTGTCTCTCCCCCCTCCCAGTATGTTAAAGTCTTGTCTGTGTCAGATTGTATGGATGTTAGTACCCCTTTAAATGTTGTGAATGTTGGTTCCCCTTTAAATGGTGTGAATGACTTGTCCGTGTCAGTGTCTGCCGCCCTGGTCCCCCCACTGTGCGCTGGATCCGCGGGTGCCGCCGGTGCGCATGGTGCCGGTGCCCGCGGGCACGCGGGTGCTGTGGGTGCGCGGTGCGGGTCCCGCGGGTGCCTGTGCCGCGGGTGCTCATGGTGCCGATGCCCGCGGGCGCGTGGGTGCTGTGTGTGCCGCGGGTGCGCATGGTGCCGGTGCCCGCGGGTGCTGTGGGTGCCGCGGGTCCCGCCGGTGCCGGTGGCGCAGTGACCTCCCATCACGCTCAGCCATCCGGCAATCTGTGTGGGGCTGCCGGTGGAGCTGAATTAGGCTCTGCTGGGCGCTCTGCAGGTGGTTCTGTTCTGGCTGGGTTATCTAACTGAACCCACTGATCTGGTTGTGACATATCAGGAGTTCATCCGCAGTCAGGTGGCTCCTGCAGTTATGCAGGTATGTGCACAAAATGTAAATGTCACTGATGCAAGTAGTTCTGCTATTGTTGCTAATGTTGGTAATTCTGCTATTGTTGCTAATACCAGTAATTCTGCTATGGTTGCTAATGTTGGCAATTCTGCTATTGTTGCTAATGCCAATAATTCTGCTATTGTTGCTAATGCCAGTAATTCTGCTATGGTTGCTAATGTTAGCAATGTTTCTGTTACCACTGCCCCTTCTGCCCTCCCTGCCCCCTCTGACCTCCAGGTCACCTCTGTCCCTTCTGGTCCCCCTGCCCCCTCCGGTCACCCTGGTACCCCCGGTCCCTCTGTTACTGTCGGTATCGATATTGCTGGCACCTCTGCTCGTGGTGCCAATGTGGGTATTGTAAATAGTTGTACAGCACTTGGTCATGTCCCTAGACACCCCCAGGCCGTCACTCAGGGTGCCGTGACCGGGGTCTCCAGCAATGGCCCTGCCACTGGAGTAACCCGGACCCCAGTGTCCCAGACGGCAGGACCCAGTGTGCCAAATGCTTGGGCATCCGGGCCACTTCGTCTGACCACGGCTGGGCCCGCCGCGCGCCCTCAGGCCCCCCCCTCCAGGGGGCAGGAGGAACGTGGTGCGGCTGGCCTGGGAGGGCGAGACCCGGGTGCCTGACAGGAGGGTACTGGTGTCCTGTCTGAAGGATATGGGTTTCTCCCCCTCCGATCTGTACGCCCTCATCCACGCCTCGGGGACCCGGGAGTTCGACGTCTCCTTCATGACGTCGCAGCTCCTGGACCGTTTCTGGGCTGGGTGGGAGGCGGCCAGCTCTCGGCAGGGGTCGAGATGGACCGGGTTTGCCGCTATACCCGTTTCTCGCCAGGGGGTCAAGAAAGTGACTTTCTTGGTGAGGAACGAGTCCATCCCTATAGCGGATATCCTGGTATGGGTCAGGAGATACGGGGACGTGAAAAGTCCCCCCGTGAAGATCTTGGACGAGGATGGAATTTGGACAGGTGGGTGGACTGTCCCGGTGACGTTGAGGGAGATTCGGGGTGTCACGCAGCACATGCCCAACAGTTTCTTTATCGGGGCTGACAGGGTATCCTGCTTTTACCCTGGCCAGCCTCGATCCTGTCACAAGTGCGGATCGTACAGGCATTTTAGTAATGCCTGTACGGTCCAGAAATGCACTATGTGCGGTGCTGTGGGGCACCTCAGGGACTCCTGCCTGGAGATCAGGTGTCATCTGTGCGGACGGATGGGGCACTCATATCGCACCTGCCCCGAAGCCCAGCATAACATCGAGTCCATTTGGAGTCTAGAACTAGTGGAGATGGACTCAGCTGGGTCAGGGGAAGTGGTTGCCGGAACATCGGGTGTCTCCGTCCCTAGCGCATCGGTCTCCGGGCCCCAACCGCCGTCCATCCCCCCCCCGGTCTTAAGTGTAACATCTAAGGCCCCAGTGACGGCTGTTAGCTCACTCCCTCACAAAGCAACGGTTAGAGTAGGCACCTCCACCACGGGTGTTGTCCCTGAGTCCCCTGGGCCCTCTCCTACTGTAAATATCCCCTTGGTTAAGTCTGTTCCCTTGGTACCCCCCCCTGAGTTAGCATGGAAGGTAAAGGAAAGTAAAGCTAGACACCCCCCTCCTCCGAAGATCTCGGCTCCCTCCTCGCCTCGGAAGACTGCCAAGCCCCCTGCGGAGCAGCCCCAGAAAAAGGGTGCTGCGACAAAGGGTGGCGAGGCAGGGAAAACCGTCTCCTCCCTGGCAGTGCAGGAGCCCCCAGTGCCCTTATCTAACCGATTTGAGGCACTGACCTCCTCCAGCTGGGGCGACTGCGTGCTAGAGGGGGAGATGGCGGACCTTTCTGGGGTGGAGTTGGGGGTCGAGATTGGAGGGGTAGTGCCTCTGAGGGACGACGGGCCCCTCTTTCCCGGTGTCTCTGTGAAGAGGTACTGCTCCGACTCGGAGGAGGAGGGGGATGGCAGAAAGAAAGAAAGGAATTTGTAAATTTGTATATAATGTTGTATATTGTTGGAGGTGGTGGGTTTTTCTTATGTTTATCTGGGATGGGTGTTTATGGACGGAGGGATGGACTCCTTGGGGTGGTGGGTTTGCGGGTGGGTGGGTGGGTGGCGGGTCTCCTTTTGGTGCGGGTGCTAATGGACGGAGGGATGGACTCCTTGGGGTGGTGGGTTTTTACGGGTGGGAAAGAAGAAGACTTTCTTTGGGTGGTGGGTTTGGGGATTGGTTTTGGTTTGGGGATTGGTAATGGTAATGTCATATTTATATGCAATGAGGTTATGGACATTTATGAACTTTATGTATATAATATGTATAGTATGTGTATAGTTCCCCTTTCATTTTATTTTGCGAGGGTCACCTGGCTGTAGGATGTCAGGTCAGTGGGCTCTCCCCCTTTTGTGTCTTGTCCTGTGTCTTGTCCCGCGTCCTGTTTTATGTTTTCTGTTTCCCCCCCCCCCCCACAGGGGTAAATGTAACAAAAAGTAGCCTCAGAAAGTAATGAGCAAATTATGTGTTATGTGAGGGGCGCATGTCTCTGGGATGCACTTGTCCCTGGGGTGTGCGTGTCTCGGAGGTGTGCATGTCTCGGGGGTGCGCGCGCCTCTGGGGTGTGCGCGTCTCGGGGGTGTATGCCTCTGGGATGCGCGCGCCTCTGGGGTGTGCGCGCCTCTGGGATGCGCGCGTGTCTCGGGGGTGTATGCCTCTGGGATGCGCGCGCCTCTGGGGTGTGCGTGCCTATGGGATGTGCGCATCTCGGGCGTGTGTGCCTCTGGGATGTGTGCACCTGGGGGATGGGTGTGTCTCGGGGACGTGTGTTCCTTCGGGGGTAAGTGCCTCCAAAGACAGGTATTAATGACCTGTGTATTTCTTTGTTTTGTATAAGTTCCTCTTATGCTGGTTTTTGTCCTTGGTATTTTGTTTTGTATATGAAATCTACTGTTTATTTCTTGTTATTTTTGTTACTTTGTTACTTATTGTGGCATTATTTACAAAATAAACCAAATATTCCAGCTCCAACCTCTGGGGGCTGGATGGTGGAAGGTTTCTGGTGGTTCACTGCAGCAGCTCCTGCTTCTCTGGAAGTTTCGGGCGTCGGCAGAATTTGTACTGATTTCCCTTCACTATTTTGGGCTGAGTGTCTACTGGACTTGGGGGCTCTGTTTGGGCCTAAGGCAGCATGGCCCTCGGGCCTTCCTCCCCAGCCCGGGGATGGAAGTTCAAACTCGACAAACTACAGGTTAGTCTGGCCTTTGGGGAGGGGAGAGTGGATACTAGGAGCCTGTCCTGGACTGGACATCAGGCCCTCTCCAGGCAGGTGAGACACCAGGTCTCCCAGCTGGAAGAACTGGTGGGGGGGATGACAAGCAAGCTAGCTGCATGGAAGAAGGGAGTGGGGGTCCCCCAGGGAGCTTTGGCCCCTACTAGGGCCGATATCCAGCTGCTCTCTGGGTTGCTGGCTGAATGCAGGGAGTTGGTCACTTCCTACAGCAGCCCCCACATCGCTGGATGTGGGAGAGGGTCCCAAGGAGGCAGTCCCTGAAACCCCCCCTGAAGTGGCTAGTACCAGCGAGGCCCCTCAGGCCTCCCTCACCTATGTAGAGGCAGCAAAGGGGTGAGGGGGTTGAGGCTAGGGCACTCAGAGGACTGCCTTCTGACAGGCTCCGGGGTCTGCTTGCATCCTTGAAGGCCCAGCACGCAGAAGCTGATTCGGGCCTAGCTGCAGTCCAAGCAGAGCTCTGGGAGCAGAGGGAGAAATCTAGCAGGACCTCAAACCACAAACGGGGTCCTATGATGGCCATTATTGCACAGAAGAAGATAGAGGAGCAGCGGCTTTCCTAAACCTTGCCCCAGACAATCTAAAATGGGGAGCAGAGTACCTCTACCCAAGCTACACCAGGGGGCGCTGCATCAACTACCAAAACTGCAGGGAGGAAGGCCAGAGAGAAGAAAAGTGAAGCAGAGTTGGAAGAAGAAAGAGAGAAGAGTGGAGGCTGAAAGTCGGGCTGATCAAGGAGTCTCTCCTCAAGTTTGGTGACGAACTTGGGGAGGGCTCTGTTGGAAAGAAAAGAAAGAAGAGGAAAAACAGCGTCAGCCTGAGACCCCTGTCAGGGGGTCTGGAGAATCCACAGAGGAGGGTGAGTGCTCCCCCACGGAGTTTATTTTCCTAGAGGAGGCCTTCCCGGCCTTGCAGGCGCCTGGGGCCAGGGATACTACCCCCCAGGAGTCTGCCCACCCTGCCTCTGTGGATGTATCTTGGCCCCCCACCGCCCTTCATGGTGACAGGGAGACCATCCCCGCCAGTACCGTGGCGGGTGCCGGTGATCCCATGGAGGGGTCCTTTCCCTTCCCTTTCCCTCTGACCTTCCTCTTAATGTTGTCGGTCCCTCTGGTGTGGCTGGATCCTCTGCCTCCTGTCCTCAGGCGGCAGCTGGGCAGGATGGCACCATTGGATTCAGTCTGGAGCTAGGTGGTGCAGAAAGCTGCTGCTTCATGAGAGGTGCTGCCTCAGTTCGCGGTGCCATGCGGCCTGTTGGGGGGGGGGGGGATGGTGCCGCTGGACCCTCCAGGGGGACTGCTCCTGAAGCAGAGTGGCCCGGTGGGGGGGGGGGGGAAGAATAGCGGTGCCGTTGGACCTTCCATAAGGGTTGCTGCGGTAGCTGGGGCTGTGCAGCACTTGAATGTGCAGTATGACACTCTGTTCCTCTGTTCTTCCAGTAGGTACTCGGCTTATCTCCCCTGTCTACTGTGAGTCTCCTCCCCTGTATGTCTCCCAGTCTGTCTCCCAATGTGTTTCCCTAAGTGTTATGGCCGTGGGTGCCTGTGGGGCCGGTGCTGCGGGTGCCGCAGGCGCTGGGGGTGCCGTGGGTACCGGTTTTATTGGTGCTGCGGGTGCCACCGGTGCCACGGGTACCAGTTTCACGGGTGCTGCAGACTCCCATCATGCCCAGCCAGCAGTCCCACTTGAGGGGACCACCAGTGGAGGTAAGAAATTTATTGATAACTTTCAGTATGGCCCCACTGGTGGTTTTGGGATGGCTGGGGGTGATGGGAGTGTATGTAGTAGTAATGTTAATGTTAATGCTCAGGGACCCACTGACCTAGATAGCAATGTCCACAGCCAGTCTCATTCTGATTATAATTCCTTTGACCCCCTGGTTCACCCGCCCCCCCCTCGATTCCTCTGGTGCCCCCCATGATTCCACCGTTCCCCCTGGTTCCCCCTCTGGTTCCGCTGCCCCTCCCAGTTCAGTTGCCCCCCCTAATTCCGTTGGTGCCCCCCCGGTTCAGCTGCTCCCCATTATTCCAGTACCCATCCTGGTAATGTTGCCCCCCTCCCTGGTTCTAAACATGTTGGTTATAATGTTGGTACACAGGTTACGGGCACGGGCACCCTGGCAAAGGGTGCCAAGGTTGTAAATATGGTTAGTGCACAAGTTGGTTCACAGGTTGTTCCCCCTAGGCACTCCCAGGTTGTCGCCCGGGGTCTCTGCAGGTCCTGCGGGGGGAATCCGCCCCACCGCTTCCCAGGTGGCGGGTCCCAGTGTGCCCAATGCTTGGGCATCTGGACCACCTCGCTTTACCGCGGGCGGGCCTGCTGCGCGTCCTCAGGTTTCTTTTGGGAACAGGAGGAACATGGTACGGCTCGTCTGTAGGGGCGAGATCCAGGTGCCTGACAGAAGGTGGCTGGTTGCCCACTTAAAGGATATGGGGTTCACGCTCTCATCCATGCCTCGGGAACCCGGGAGTTTGACGTCTCATCCGGGATTGTTTCTGGGCTGGGTGGGAGGCTGCCAGGTCTGTGCAGGGCACGAAGTGGGCAGGATTCACCTGTACCCATTTCTCGCCAGGGTCTAAAGAAGGTCACCTTCCTGGTGAGAAATGAGTCCATCCCCATAGCGGACATCCTTGTATGGACTAGGAGGTTTGGGGATGTCAAATCCCCCCCAGTTAAGATCTTAGACTAGGATGGGATATGGACAGGTGGGTGGACTGTCTCAGTGTTGCTGCGGGAAATAAGAGGTGTCACACAGCACATGCCAAATATTTTTTTTCATCGGGGCTGACAGGGTTTCTTGCTTTTACCCTGGTCAGCCCAGGGTATGTCACAAGTGCGGATCGTACAGGCATTTCAGCAATGCCTGTACGGTCCTTAAGTGCACTATGTGCGGTGCTGTGGGGCACCTCAGGGACAACTGCAGGGAAATCAGATGCCATCTGTGCTCGGAAATGGGTCACACGTACCGCACCTGCCCCGAAGCCCAGCATAATGTGGAGTCAATATGGAATCAGGAGCCGGTGGAGATGGAGGAGCTGGACTCTGCTGGGTTAGGGGATCAGGCTGCAGGAACATCTACGGTGCCCATTTCTGACGCAGGGGTTTCCCTGCCCCAGCCACTGCCCATCCTCCCCTCGGTCTCAGTACCACCTCAGGATCTCGGGATGGCAACTAGCTCACATCCCCTCACAAAGGTTGATAGAGTAGGCACATCCTCCACAGCCACTATGGCTACCCCTAGGCAACCCCCCCCCCTCCATAGTTAAGGTTATCCCCACTGATAAGTCCATAGAATGGTTCACAGTCACAAAAGGTAAGCATCCCCCCTCCCTCCAAGACCTCGATGCTGCCCACACCCCGAAAGACCACCAAGCCCCCTGCAGCGAAACCCTCAAAAGAGGGGGACGCCACTTCTCAGGGTGGTGAGGCAAAGAGGTCTGCCTCCTCTTCGTGCTTGCAGGAGGCCTCGGTGCACGTATCTAACCGGTACAAGGCACTGTCTACCAGCTGGGCTGACTGTGAGCTCGAGAGGAGATGGCGAACCTCCCCGGGGTGGGGGCAGAGGTTGAGATCGGACAGGAGGTACCTCTGAGAGACGACGGTCCACTATATCCCGGAGTCTCGGTGAAGAGGTACTGCTACGATACGGAGGAGGAGGGGGATAACAGAAGGAAGGGAAAGTCTCCTTACGCTTAATGCCCTTATGTCGAGGTTTCCTATGCTTTCTGTGGCTACGGTGAATGTTAACAGCATTTTGTCCGGCAGGGCCAGATTTTTGGTTTACGACCACCTCAGCCGGGCTAGGTACAATGTCATCTTGGTACAGGAGACCCGGCTGGAAACCCTTGCAGCCCTGCACGCTGCAAAGCGGGACTGGAGATGAGGGCCCTCCTACTTCTCTCTAGCCACAGAGAGATATGGGGGAATCGCCATCCTATTTAAGGAAGTTGATGTTCACATCAACAGGGTTATTGAGCTGCAGAAAGGGCGTTGTGTGGTTTTAGATGTCTCACTGGGCAGGCAACCTCTCTGAATCATTAACATCTATGGCCCCCAAACTAAGTGGGAGAGGAAGCGCCTGTTTAGTGAGATAGAGCCTTACCTCAATACATCCCAGCAAATCCTGTTTGGTGGTGATTTCAACACCATAACTAGGCCTCAAGACAGGAGAGGCGCCATTCAGAGGCTGGGGTATGATTCCATATTTTTGAATAAGATGGTTAGTGAGGCTGGATTGGTTGATGCGTACCTTCACCACGCTCCCAATCCCACTGGTGGGTACACTTATCACAGAGGTAGTTGTCAGAGTAAGATAGACAGGTTTTTCTTTAAGGAGAATTTCCCGGTGGCGGCACCCGTGCAAACGCCGGTGGAGTTCTCCGACCATCACATTTTGTCTTGCGAGTTGAACGTCCACGGCACCCAACCTAAAGGTAGAGGGATCTGGCGGCTAAATTCAGACCTCCTGGTGGAACAGAGGGTACAGCAAGCCTTCAGAGAATTCTTTCACGACCAGATGATATTGGCCGATTTCGGCCAAACGAAGTCTGAGTGGTGGGAGATGGTGAAGGCCAGGACTCGAAGGCTATTTTGCAATCTTGCCCGAAACATGTAGTCCTCTAGGTACAAGATGTATCTGAGCTTGCTTGGGAGGTTGGATGTCTTGATCTCGCAGGGAGGTGACCCCGAGGACGTTGCGGCGGTCAAGGCCCTGATGAGGAGTTATCAGTATGATAGGTACGCCTCCCTTGTAAAAGAGAGGGATCATGGGTCTTACCACTCGTCCGATCCTTATCTCAGCTGCAAGAGGAAGGAAGGTACCAAGACCATCTCTGGTCTGCGGGGCACCGACGGGATCCTCGAGGAGTCTCCTCCCGGGATTCTGAAGGTGGTTAGCGACTACTATATTGAGCTCCTCGGTAAGGGCAGACCCCGATGTGCTGAGGCGGGAACATCCCGTGGGAGAGAGGTGGAGGACTTCTTAAGCAAGCTTACACTCCCTGAGTATAGCGACCTCCCTTTTGACGAGTTGCTTAGCGAGATCACCATAGAAGAGGTCACAGAGAGTATCCAACAGCAGAACAAGTGTAATTCGCCAGGTCCTGATGGTCTGACGGCTGAATTTTACCAACAGTTCTGAGCTTTCTTGGCCCCTCATTTAACCGAGGTGTTTAATGAGAGCTTGGCTCAAGGATTATTGCCACCCTCGATGAGGACTTCTGCCCTGATCTTGCTAACCAAGCCGAACATACTCAACACAGCGGATCCGGGGAACTGGCGCCCCATATCCCTTTTAAAAGAGAGTACAGGGCCTAGCAAGGCGTGTCCTATCCACCTCCCAGTACTGTACAATCGGGGAAAGAACTGTTTTCAATGCCATTTTCGAGGTCAGGGAAGCTCTCGAGAAGTGCAAGGCCGGAGGAAGAGGGATATACCTCCAGGCGCTTGATCGGGTCGATCACCATTATCTGTGGTAAGTCTTGCGGAAGTATGGCTTGCCGGGGAAATTTATCCCTTGTACAGAGGGGCCGAAAGCTTCGCTCTTGTGAACGGGTGGAGGGGCAGGACATTTAGGATCCGATCCGGGTTCCGGCAAGGCTGTCCTCTCAGCCCGCTCTTGTACGTGTTTGCAGTCGATCCCTTCATCCGGAGGGTCGAGGTGAGCACGTTGCAGGGAGTGGCCAGGGCTCCGGGGAGGCCTCTATGGGTCGTAGCCTACGCCGATAACTACTCCATCGTGGTCTCCGACACACGGGAGTCCACAGTGGTGGATGAGTTAATTCTCGCGTATTTTGCCGCTTCAGCCTCATGTATCAACAGGGACAAGAGCGGAGTTTTCTGGTGCGGGAAGGAGGGGGACCAGTTCCCTCTTCCAGACGGTTTCCCACGGACCCAGTCTGAAATTAAGATCTTGTGGGTGATGTTCGGACCAGGGGATCTGGCTCTCAGGAACTGGTCTGAACGGCTTTCCATAGCTTCCAGCAAGGTGGAGGAGAGCCACAGGTGGAAACTGATGTACAGAGAACGGGTGAAACTGATTAAAACCTATGTTCTGACCGTATTCGGCTATGTCAACATCTTTCGTTTGCCCAGGTCCCTTCACGCTTGGGTGTTTGCTCTGTTCTTCAGCATGTTGTGGGGGAACAGGCTAAACCTTATCAAGAGGGAGGTCACTTACCTGGCCAGAAAGGACGGGGGTCTGGCCATGGTCAACCCCATCGTCTTTTTTTCTAGCAACTTCCTGAAAAGGAACTTTGGGGCTCTCCTGAAGGACGAGCAGCCTGGCTGGGCATGTATATTCAGGGAGTGGGTCGCACCTTTCCTGGTGGACTGGTTCCGCGGCAGGATGGAGGGAGAGGAGCATGAGAGTTCGCCATTCTAGCTATCTCCCGACTTCGGTCATCGAGGGAGTGTGGAACGTCACGGTGGACGAGGTTCGGGACTCTCCGAAGAGGCTTCTCAACAGGAGGGTCCTGGCCACCCACTTTGGCGTTCAGCTCGTTTTGAAGGACTGCCCGCCATGTACTCTCGCCTCGGGGTTGAAAAACCATCAACTCCAGGCGCCTTCCGGAGAAATTCCGAGACTTGGCGTTTCTCTCCTTCCACGATAGACTTTACGGTTAAGGGAACTTGAAGTACAGGAACATAACGGATCACGGTTGTCCACGGGTGGAATGTTCCGGGAAAGTGGAATCCATGGACCACTTTCTCCTCGAGTGCCCCTTTAACGTCCAGGTCTATAAAGAGGTCTCAGCCGCCTTGGGCATCCCCTGCTTATCCCGCTGGACTTACGCGGAGTGGGCGTACGGGACATCCAACTCACGGGGTAGGGCCTTTAATTTGAGCACCCTTTTTGTAGTCAGTTCCGTAGTTAAGTATTTCACTTGGATGGCAAGATGTCAGGTTTCCCTTCAGCGTAAAGACCTTTCCTGTCAGAAGGTGGTAGCAGATATTCTGAGAGCGGTTCGCGGGATCTACAACACCGAAAGGGCCTCTATGGATCTTTCAATTTGGCAGAGTTTGTGGCGAAATCTCAAGGTCCACCCGCCTTGAACCGTTCCATGGGCGCCCTTGTCTTGGTAAAGGGAATTCAAAAATCTATCTTCACCTTTTCTCCCTTAGATTTTGAAATTGTTTTCTTTTCAAGGAAGGCTGCCACACCTTAGCAGATGAGTACCTTCCTCTGTGTATAGGTTTGTAGTGTTTGGTTATAATGTTATGGTTATGGTTATGTTATTCCTGTGCGGGTGGGTTTATTTGGTATTGTTTGGGTTAGGGAGGGGGGTGGGTTTATTAAAAAGATTATGGTATGATTATGTCTATTGATATTCTGGACATTCTGAACATTTTGCTTTGGGTGGGGGTAGGACACTGGGTGTTTATGGACGGAGGGTTGGACTCCTTGAGGGTGGTGGGTTTTTGGGGAGCTTGGACGGAGGGATGGACTCCATGTGGATGGTGGGTTTTGGGTGTGTATGGACGGAGGGATGGACTCCATGTGGGTGGTGTTTTTTTTTTTTTTTGGGAGGTCTGTAATGGACGGAGGGATGGACTCCAAACTTGTGGGTGGTGGGTTTGATGGGTGTTTATAAATGGAGAAATTGACTCCTTGCGGGAGGTGGGACAGAACGAAGACTTGGGTTTGTGGATGGGTGGGTTTTTGATTTCTTTGGGTGGTGGGTTGGATTGGGAGTTACGTTATGTTTATGGTTAGGTTTATATTATGTTTCTGCCTGGCTGGCTGTGGACTATAGGTCAGTTGGGTCCCCCTTCCTCCCCCCTTTATTTATGGTATTTGCTGAGCTCCTAAATGAAGCATTCCGGGTTCCCTTTAATTTATTTCCTCCCCAGTTTGCTCCATGAGGTTAATGGAGCCCCCCGCCCTTTAATTTAATGTGAGCCCCCTTCCCCCTCCCTATGGTTTGTCCATGAAGATAATGGACCCCCTTTTATGCTAATCCCCCCTCCCAGTTATACTTCATGAAGTAATGAAGTCCCAGTATTTAGTTACCCCTCCTTAGTTAACCCCTTCTTAGTTATCCCCCCGGATGCTTCATGATGGAATGGGGCTCACTCCCCCTTCAGGTGCCTAAAGAGGCATTGGTTTATATGGAAGTATTGTCAGTTTATGTATAGTTTCTGATGTATTGTTAATATTTGACTGAATTTGTTTGTTCCTGTTTGGTTTTGCTGGTTGCAACTTGTTTTTGTTACTTTGTTATTTATGTTGCTTTACACAACTAAAATAAAATATTCCAGCTCCACCCACTTGGGGCTGGGAGTTTGTAGCTGCAGGTTGTGTGCAGATCAGGTTCCTGACTTCCAGTTCCACACCCTGGGAGTTTGGCTTGTTAGCCCAAATTAGTGCACTTTTCTGGGCTGAGCTTTTGACTTTGACTCCTGGAGCATTTGCCTGGTTTCAGGCAGTATGTCTTCAGGGCCTCCCTCCCCTACCAGGGGATGGGAGGACTGGCTGCAGCATGTGGAGGAAGAGTTATATGCAGAGACTGAATTGCCTGAAGCATTATCCCTTTCATGGACTGACCACCAAGCCCTCACCAGGACCACAAGGCAGCAGGTGAGCAAGCTACAGAACCTGGAGGGGAGACTGCACAAACGGATGTGTGAGGATCCCGTCGGCGAGTGGAAAAAGGGAGTGGGGGTGCCCCATAGGCCTGCAGGGGTTAATCACTCCAGTATTACAATGCTTAATGGACTGCTAGCTGTTTGCAGAGAGAAGGTGGCTGGAGGGCTCCACTTTCTGTAGCAACCCCCCCCCCCCTTGGAAATGGTAGACAGTAGCCCCATGGAAGTGGCCCTGGAGGGGTCCCTGGGGGCAGAAGCTGAGGCTGAAGCCAATGACCCCCCAGCCCAATGCACTTATGCTGAGGCAGCTGGGGGTGGTGGGGATGCTGCTGCAGCAAATGCCCTAAGAGAGCTGCCTGCTGAAAAGCTATTATCTTTATTAAAGGAACTGAAAGACAGGCACTCTGAAACTGACTGCAGTTTATTTGCTTTGCAGACTGAACTCAAAACTTTAAGAAGTCAGTCAAGTAAAATGTCTAGTCACAAGAGGGGCCCAGTGAGAACTCTAATTGCAGAAAAAAAATGTTGGAACAGCATTTAGGGTTCAGGCTGCTCCATCTAGAAAAACAAATCAAGCAAACTCAGTCAATTATGCAACAGACTGAAAGTAGCTGCCAGATTAAAGAGACAGGAGTCTCTTGGGGGTAGGAGGGATATTACTACCGGTGGGGAGTCTGGCATGGAGTCTGAGGGTGACCAGATCACCTCACTGGTGGGGAGACCCCCTCCTCCCTCAACCCCACCTGGGGGCCATGCGGCTGCTGCAGGTGAAAAAGCAAAAATGATAGAGGAGGAGGAGTGGGGAGCAGAGGAGAGTGGAAGCTTCAAATCCCAGAAAACAAGAACCAGGAGCATATCAAAGAAACGCTTCTCGCTTTTGGGAATGAGGACCTAGAGGAGGCTGTGGATAGCAGTGTACAGAAGAAAAAGAAAAAGTCAAAGAGCCCTGCTACCCGTCAGCCTGAGGCCAGGATCCACAGGGAGTCTGGAGGATCGGTGGGGAAGGGTGAGTACCCCTCAGAGTTTACCTCTAGTCTGCGGAGTGCCGACGGGATCATCGAGGAATCTCCTCGTGGGATTCTGAAGGTGGTCCGCGACTACTATATTGGACTCCACGGAAAGGGCACACCCAGATATGCCGAGGTGGGAACATCCCGTGAGAGAGAGGTGAATGATTTCTAGAGTGGGATCACGCTCCCTGAGAATAACGACCTTCTTTTGGATGAGTTGGTCAGTGAGATCACCATAGAAGAGGACACAGAGTATCATGCAGCAGAACAAGAGTAAGTCGCCAGGTCCTGATGGCCTGACGGCTGAATTCTACCAGCAGTTCTGCACTCTCTTAGCCCCTCATCTAACCGAGGTGTATAATGAGAACCTGGCTCAAGGATTACTACCAGCCTCGATGAGGACTTCTGCCCTGATCTTACTGACTAAGCCGAACGTAGTCGACACTGCAGATGTGGGGAACTGTCGACCCATATCCCTCCTTAATGTCGACGGGAAGGTTCTGGCAAAGATCTTGATGAAACGATTACAAGGCCTGGTGGGTAGCGTCCTATCCACCTCCCAGTACTGTGCGCTTGAGGGTCGAACTGTCTTCGATGCCGTTTTCGAGGTCAGGGAAGCTCTCAAGAAGTGCAGGGCTGGGGGGAGGGGGATATACCTCCTGGCACTTGATCAGTCCAAGGCTTTTGATCGGGTTGATCACCATTATCTATGGTCAGTCTTGCGGAAGTATGGCTTGCAAAGTAAATTCATCAATTGGATCATCACCCTTTGTAGGGGGGCCAACAGCTTCATTCTTGTAAACGGTTGGAAAGGCAGAGCGTTTGGGATCCGATCTGGAGTCCAGCAAGGCTGTCCTCTCAGGCTGCTCCTGTACGTATTCGCGATCGACCCCTTTATAAGGGCAATCGACAGGACTGCGTTACAAGGAGTGGCCAGGGCTCCGGAGAGGCCTTTACGGGTGGTAGCCTATGCTGATGACATCTCCATTGTGGTCTCCAAGACTCAGGAGTCCACTTTGGTGGATGAAATGATTCATGCGTACTCTGCCGCTTCTTCCTCTCAGGTCAACAAGTGCAAGAGGGGAGTTTTCTGGTGCGGGAAGGAAGGGGACCAGTTTCCCCTTCCAGACTGCTTCCCTCAGGCCCAACCTGAAATTAAAATCCTGGGAGTGGTGTTCGGACCAGGGGATCTGGCTCTCAGAAACTGGTCCGAAAGGCTTGCCATAGCTTCCAGCAAAGTGGAGGAGAGCCATCGGTAGAAACTGACCTATAGAGAGTGGGTAAAACTGATCAAAACCTATGTGCTGACTGTATTCGGTTACGTCAGTAACATCTTTCTTTTGCCCAGATCCCTTCACGCTCTGATGTTCTCTGTTCTTCCGCATTTTGTGGGGGAACAGGCTGAACCTCATCAAGAGAGGGGTCACTTACCTGGCCAGGAAGGACGGGGGTTTGGCCATGGTCAACCCCATCGTCTTTTTCAACAACACCTTCCTGAAAAGGAATTTTGGAGTTCTCCTAAAGGACGAGCCGCCTGGCTGGGTATGTATTTTCAGGGAGTGGGTTGCACCTTTCCTGGTGGACTGGTTCCGGGGCGGGAGAGTGAAGAGTCAGAGTTCGGCACTCTCATTACCTCCCGACTTCAGTCATCGAGGGAGTGGGATTTCTTCGCAGGTGGAACGTCACGGTGGATGAGATTTGGGATTCTCCCAAGAGGCTTCTCGACAGGAGGGTCTTGGCCACCCACTATGGCATTCAACTCGCATTGAGGGACTGCCCGCCAAGTACTCTCGCCTCGGGGTTGAAAAACATCAACTCCAGATGCCTACCGGAGAAATACCGAGACTTGGCGTTTCTCTCCTTCCACGGTAGACTCTACGTTAGAGGTAACGAAGTACAGGAACATCGCGGACCGAGTTTATCCTCGGGTGGAATGTTCCGGGGGAGTGGAGTCCATAGACCACTTTCTCCTCGAGTGTCCCTTTAACGTACTGGTCTACAAAGAGCTCTCGGCCTCCTTGGGCATCCCCTGCTTATCCCGCTGGACTTATGCGGAGTGGGTGTACGGGACGTCCAACTCACGGGGGAGGAACTTTAATTTGAGCACCCTTTACGTAGTTAGTTCCGTAGTCAAATACTTCACGTGGATGGCACGGTGTCAGGTTTCCCTGCAGAGAAAAGACTGTGGCAAAACTAGCCACTTAAGACTATTCGTGTATTGCATGTGTGGATATCTGTGTTAACTGTAAGAACCAAGTATAATACTGTATGTGGCTTTCAGGCTAACGAGGGTGTTCGTATGCTTGCAATGTGGAAAACCCAGCATTCCCTATGTATTTTCATGAACAGTGAGTTTCGACACTGTTGGTGAAACGAATGAACTACCGAATGGTCGACCACACACACTCTACATGTCCGGCAATTCGGTGCCACACCTGCAATCAACAGGGGCACATTCAGAGGGACTGTCTATGTAACCGACCCAGACGGAATAAAGCAGCACCAAGTAACAGAGCGGCCGTACACTGCATGCAGACCGAACCATATCAGACCCCAGAGACAGTAACACCCCTAGAAGAACCGCTAGGAACACTGCACAAGGTGAACCCCATCCAGGCCGCCTCCGATAACCAACAAGGGCACTGCCAGGAGGTGCATATGGAGGGGAAAAAGGTACAAGGACTTACATTACTCACGGATCACAACCCGTTGGCGTGGCTGAACAGGGTGTCAGGAGACAATGCTAGGCTACTGCTCTGGAGTTTGGCGCTGCAGCCTTTTGACTTTACCATCCACTATTGCCCTGGGAAGCAAAATGGCAACGCCGATGGGTTGTACCGACAAACAGATTTGGAACCGTGATCCATGAGCGCTCCTCCGGACATCCGATAGGATCAGACTGTGTATGCCGGCTTGGTTATGGGGGAGCATTGTGGCAAAACTAGCCACTTAAGACTATTCATGTAGTGCATGTGTGGATATCCTTGTGTTAACTGTAAGAACCAAGATTAATACTGTACAGGGAGTGCAGAATTATTAGGCAAATGAGTATTTTGACCACATCATCCCCTTTATGCATGTTGTCTTACTCCAAGCTGTATAGGCTCGAAAGCCTACTACCAATTAAGCATATTAGGTGATGTGCATCTCTGTAATGAGAAGGGGTGTGGTCTAATGACATCAACACCCTATATCAGGTGTGCATAATTATTAGGCAACTTCCTTTCCTTTGGCAAAATGGGTCAAAAGAAGGACTTGACAGGCTCAGAAAAGTCAAAAATAGTGAGATATCTTGCAGAGGGATGCAGCACTCTTAAAATTGCAAAGCTTCTGAAGCGTGATCATCGAACAATCAAGCGTTTCATTCAAAATAGTCAACAGGGTCGCAAGAAGCGTGTGGAAAAACCAAGGCGCAAAATAACTGCCCATGAACTGAGAAAAGTCAAGCGTGCAGCTGCCACGATGCCACTTGCCACCAGTTTGGCCATATTTCAGAGCTGCAACATCACTGGATGTTGTGCAATACTCAGAGACATGGCCAAGGTAAGAAAGGCTGAAAGACGACCACCACTGAACAAGACACACAAGCTGAAACATCAAGACTGGGCCAAGAAATATCTCAAGACTGATTTTTCTAAGGTTTTATGGACTGATGAAATGAGAGTGAGTCTTGATGGGCCAGATGGATGGGCCCGTGGCTGGATTGGTAAAGGGCAGAGAGCTCCAGTCCGACTCAGACGCCAGCAAGGTGGAGGTGGAGTACTGGTTTGGGCTGGTATCATCAAAGATGAGCTTGTGGGGCCTTTTCGGGTTGAGGATGGAGTCAAGCTCAACTCCCAGTCCTACTGCCAGTTCCTGGAAGACACCTTCTTCAAGCAGTGGTACAGGAAGAAGTCTGCATCCTTCAAGAAAAACATGATTTTCATGCAGGACAATGCTCCATCACACGCGTCCAAGTACTCCACAGCGTGGCTGGCAAGAAAGGGTATAAAAGAAGAAAATCTAATGACATGGCCTCCTTGTTCACCTGATCTGAACCCCATTGAGAACCTGTGGTCCATCATCAAATGTGAGATTTACAAGGAGGGAAAACAGTACACCTCTCTGAACAGTGTCTGGGAGGCTGTGGTTGCTGCTGCACGCAATGTTGATGGTGAACAGATCAAAACACTGACAGAATCCATGGATGGCAGGCTTTTGAGTGTCCTTGCAAAGAAAGGTGGCTATATTGGTCACTGATTTGTTTTTGTTTTGTTTTTGAATGTCAGAAATTTATATTTGTGAATGTTGAGATGTTATATTGGTTTCACTGGTAATAATAAATAATTGAAATGGGTATATATTTGTTTTTTGTTAAGTTGCCTAATAATTATGCACAGTAATAGTCACCTGCACACACAGATATCCCCCTAACATAGCTAAAACTAAAAACAAACTAAAAACTACTTCCAAAAATATTCAGCTTTGATATGAATGAGTTTTTTGGGTTCATTGTGAACATGGTTGTTGTTCAATAATAAAATTAATCCTCAAAAATACAACTTGCCTAATAATTCTGCACTCCCTGTATATTCATCTACAGCCTTTTATTTTTTACTTCATACTAGTTATGGTAAAGAATACTCTATATACTGTCACCCTGAGGTCAACATATTTCACATATAGATAAAAAGTAGAGGGGGAAGAGTCTGCGCTTAATAACAGAAAAGCTGCAACCCTCAAAGGGAATCCCTCAGAAACCCTTTAAGATAGACAAATAGAGGAGTTTAGGGCTGCGCTGTTGGATAATACACCAGACATCAATAAGTATGACATGTATATACAAGTGCTAAAAACTAATGGATTTTAAGTTAAAATATATATAAAAATGTCCGTACAGATTTATCAATAAAAAAGTAGAGAAATTCCAAATGGGATAAAATGAAGTAAAAAAGTCTCACTGATATCAGGTATGATTACAGTCCTCGGAGATGGTTCCGTCCGGGTAAAAATAGTGAAGTATTGTAAATCCAAGGATAAAAAATAAAATCAGAATCAGGATTTGGAACTCACATTTGATGGAGCTAAGGCCAGCTCTGAGATGAAGGGCACTTAGTGGTATAATCCCCACTTCAGGATATACTTGGATGGTAGGTCCGTCCGTCCGACTTGGGTTCCGTCGAAACTCACAGGATATAGGAAACAGCAAATAGTGCTCTCAGTAGGAACAATAAGAAATAAAATAAAATAAATGAAATAATACTCACAAAAATAGAGCAGGAAGTACTGCTCTATTATCACAGCGCTGGTGGAATTATCCCCACCTAGGGATTTCTTTAAGACAGGATATAGTAAGAAAAAATGAAAAATATTTAAAAGGGATAAATAAAATAAAATGCCAAGAAAAGTACTAAAAACAAGTGTATATAAGTACAATAAAAGAAAGATTGGTCCTATAAAAGAGGTAACCAAAAATAAATTGTTTAAAATACACTATTTAAAACCATTAACGCGTTTCACCAATCAGTTTTTTTCAAAATGGTAATGGAACAAAATACCTGGCATAAAACAGTATTTATAAGGATACACAGTGATTGAATTAGTATTAGTATTAAAACAATCATATTTTACAAGTTCAAAACAAATAACTTTATACAACAAAATAGTTTAACTTTCATAAATCTTAAAATGTATTTGTTTATGTAAAACGAGGTACTGATAACTTTATTATATTTAGCTTTAATGGTCACATGATCGGGACTTAGATTGCCGTGCGCATGCTCAATCAGAAGTTGCCGTGCGCGGGGCATGGGCGGATCGTTTTGCCGCAATTTGCAACTGTGGGACCGGCGTAAGGGAGCAGTGCTCCCTGGGGAATGTAGTTAGGCGGATCGATCTGCCGTACTGAATACTATGTGACCGGCATTTGTAAAATCCTATGGATTGAGGAAAAAAAAGGATAATGAATTTTTTGGTGGGATTGTTTTAGTGAAGTTTGTAGTTAAGATCGATTTAAAATTAGAGGCTCCCCTGAAGATTATACTTGGCTTTTCTGGGATAATTTTACAGTTTCTCATCGTGTTCTAGAATATGCCAATGTTTTTTAATAATCTTTTTTATTTCCCTGCTTTTGTTGTTGTAATTAAAAGTGATGGGGGGGGAGAGAGAGAGAGAGAATCATTTTTTCTTTTAGGTTTATATATTAACAGTTCATCCCTATTTTTATTTTGTATCTCATTAATAATTTTCTAGTAGATCTGAAGATGGATATTTTTTTTCT